ATTAAATAAAATAATAAAATTGTTTTGTTTTAGTATTTCTTGACCAACTATCACATAACACCTCATTTAAAAAAAATAAATAAAATAAAATAAAGAAAAAATAAATAAATAAATAAATGTAATATCAAAATATTAAAAAAATAAATGTATTTAAAAAATAGTTTGCTACATACACTAGTAATGCAAACAGGTCACCTTCGACTACATTCTAGCTTAGAAAAATAAAAACTCTTTAAACAACATGGAGCATGAGGTCTGGTGAAAAGGTAAAAAAACTGGGAAACCGATTAAGAAAGGAATAAAACAAAAGAAGAAATAGTGTTTGGGGCTGGAGAAGAGTTTTCCAGGAAGCCCCACACATAGTCTTCCCTCTCAGCCGACAGAAAGCATCCTTCCCAGCATCAGGTTCACGTTGCGTCTCGATACGCTACGCTGCCCTTTGACTCCCTTTGGCTGCTAAACCAATCAGAGCATCCAGAGCTGCTTAAACACACACAGAAGTGACACACAAACTCATATCCGTGTGAGTTTAAACACAGTTCACATGGCGACATCAGCACAAACCGCCAAAACAACGAGCGGACGGGGAAAATTAATCACATTATGATTAATATTCCCTAAATGTCTCGCAGGAAATATGGAGCACTTGAGGCGCATCAGACACATAACGCTGGTTAGCGGTTTCCTCATGCTAATTCTATCAGTATGGAAGCGCGTTCTGCGCACATGTGACATGCATCCGCATAAGTGGGAGATTCATTGCCGTGTCTTTATAAGAGACACATGTGATGTGGCCATATGGCTGGAAGATTCATACGTTTCCTGATTATAGCAGATTACGCGAATGGAAAGCACAAGTAGCCCTTGTTGGTGGCCACACGAGGGGGCCGTGGGGTGGGATGGGAGCGGACGGCTGCTGCTGCAGGGGTGGGAGAGATTTAGTCATCGGCTAATTGAACCTTGATTACACTGCTTCCTTCTTTATATGCACATTAAATTAAAGCGGCAGACAATCAGGACTGACTCCTCTATCAGCGCTTCTAATTATAAAGCGCCAAATTCCAGCAGCGCTTCCTCAACAGAGCCGCGTTGACCTCCTTTGGAGAGTGAGTGAAGGGAAATCTCTGGGCCTTTGCTGGAAAGGCCAGGCTGTTATTTTCTAATGTTACCTTCCTGGTTTCTTAAAGATGAAAATCTGCTATAATGCAAGTCATATTGTAGAAATCTCCAATAATTGGCTTATTATATAAATGGGGGCACATTTCAACACTAAAGTACACTTACTATTGGTTTCTAACTGCTAGAATAGAATAGAATAGAATAGAATAGAATAGAATAGAATAGAAAAATGATACACAGGCACAATGAAACTACACTTCAAGTACACTTGTGAGCACTACACATGCATCTATGTATCGAAATCCCTTGCAAAGTGTGATTAATTCTAGTAAATATGCACTAGTGTACTTAAAAGTAAAATTTACAAAAACTGTACTTGCAGATAATGTAATATTAATGCAATAAAGGCCACTAAGCGTATTTAAAGAG